CCCCAAAACCCCAAAACCCCAAAACCCCAAAACCCCTTTTCGTATAGTGAAAATTGAGAACTAAGTGTTTGAAAACTAGCTTATTGGATTATGAAAATCACTAGGAGTGTAAGCATGGTTTTTAGTGAAGATTGTTGGCAATTACACTCTTGTTCTCCGTTCTCATGTGATTGATAAAGCTTGAGAGGTCAGTGGTCTGAAAAGTGTTTCAGATGCAGCATGAGTAATTCCTAAACTTTATAATCATCCTTACAGGCTAGGTCTTTGCATCATCGAAGAGCTTGAAGGTTCATGAAAGGGCTCTCTCTTGTGGCTTCACTCCTTGTCAGGAATCCCAGCCTCTGATTTTTTATCCTGAAACTTGCTCATCGACCTTGTGATTCTTCTATCAGATGTATTTTCAGTTTGGCTTTGATAAATTTTAACCATACCTTAAAATTAGCTCAATTCTTACTCTTCTTGCTTCTTTTCTTCAAAGAAGGAGAATGGAACTGCCCATCTAGTCTTCTTATTGTATCTTTGTTGAATCTGTTAGGAAGGCCTAGCCTACTAATTTTTGATGAGGATATTTCCATATCTGAGAACTGAGTGTTATCACTAATACTCATCTTATTATCATCTGTAATCATTTCTACCTCTGGTACTGAGAATTGCATAGTTGAGTAATCACTCCTCATTGTAACATCTCTCGAGGTTGATGGCTTACTTCCTGGCTTCAAATTTATACTTTAACTTACGACTGAAAGTATCTGAGTCAATTGCTGACATAGGCTTGTCAGACTGTTCAATATCTGAGGATTTGTGAGTAAATTTGATAAATCACAAGCAAGCTATGAATTCAACTCTACTGACATTACCTTCTTAGATGTTCTTGTCTTACATGACTCGCTTAATATCTTCCGTACAAGGTCAACTACCACACTGTGTGTCTTTGGTCTCTGATTTCTTTGTCCTAAAAAGTCACTGAAAATGCTTACTCATTTAGTCGAATGTATTTTAATATTATACTTTATGGCTGGTTCCACCCTTTGCTGCCTTCCAGGGGTTTTGGGGTTTTGGGGTTTTGGGG